TTCAGCTTATTAATATTTGTCTAAATTTTTCACCAGTAAGTGTTCATTTGCGTTCCCTTTGTAAGAATTCATTATCGTGTTTTGTGATCATATTTTCTTATTTCTTTTCTTATCATTATTATTTATTTCATCATTCGAATGTTATTTGATATCATTTTCTTAATTAGGTTCAAACTATAAACTTTATTTGGTTTTACTCATTACGGGAGATATACGAGACGAGTTTGCACAAGCTTAGTGCAATTAAATCATCCTTTATTTATCGGCGTGTTACACCACACACACACCAAACCTTGACACACCAACCAGCCACACCACCAGCAACACACACACACACCCATCACACCACACACCGACACACACTAACACACACACACAACACACCACACACAGCAACACCACACCCACACACAACCACACCTTGGTAGCCACACCACACACACGCTGGACACACAGGGACACAGCACACACACACCACACACACAACACACACACACCACACACAACCACACACAACACACACACACACACACACACACACACACCACACAACAAACAACCTTAGGGACACCACCACACACACCTTGGACAATCCCACCAGACACAACACAACACACCACAACCACACACACACACACACACACACACACACAACACACACCACCCCCACCACCACACCACAACACACACAACCACACACACCACACCCACCACAACACACCCTTGACACACACTCACATTGACACACACAAATACACACACACACACACACCACAGACACACAACATCACAACACAGGACACACACAGGACACACACACACACAAATAATAATAATAATAATAAAATAATATAAACATAATAATGAAATTAAAAATAATAATAAATAAATAAAAAATAAAAACACGGCAACCCCCAAAACAGCGTCTCGCAAAATCTCTCGCTTTCTCGAGAATGCGCGCCACATATGCGACTTCTTGCGCGTCTCAAACCGTGAAATTTGGGTTCATTTTTTTTCTCTCTCTTTTTTTTCCTCTCTCTCCTATTCTGATTCTCTTTCTTGTATCTTATATTTTTTATGTGTGTGGTTGCGGTAGCTAGACGTGCGTGTAGCAATGCCTTATGAATTATTATTATGAATTGTACCCGAAGGTTTTTCCCAAGGCTTTGTACTGTTTAAGGATTAGGGAGAGGACAGAGAGAGAGAGAGAGAGAGAGAGAGGAGAGAGAGAGAGAGAGAGAGAGAGAGAGAGAGAGAGAGAGAGAGAGAGAGAGAGAGAAGAGAGAGAGAAGAGAGAGAGAGAGAGAGGGAGAGGGAGAGAGAGAGAGAGAGAGAGAGACGCATAGAGATGAGAGAACGAGAGAGAGAGAGAAGAGAGAGAGGTACCGAGAGAGAAGCCAGAGACAGGACAGAGAGAGAGACCAAGAGACAGATGAGAGAGAAAGAGAAACGAGAAAAGAAAAGAAAAAAAAAAAACTACAACTTACTAGAAGCATCAAATAAAACTAAACCCAAGATATTTCAATACGATCGTAATTCCGCATCCGCACGACAATTTTTCCCTCCCGCCAAAAAGTCTCATTTTTACGTAACTCAATCCCGCGCGCGCCAAAACCCGAGAGCAAGCGCCATATTTCAGGGTCTTGTACACGATCCGTATTCTCTCTTTTTTTTCCTCTCTACTTTTCTTTTCGGACTGCCATTTCTCTCGTTGAATCTCAACTCGCAATCTTAAAACTGTGGATTTTTATGGCGGATGAAAACTAACCTAAATCTTGAAGGAGAGAGAGAAAAGATTTATTCCCGGTCGTAAAGAATTCCCGAGCTCTGTTTTGCAACCTGGATCTATGTCTGTCCGCGGCAGCAAGTGTCATGGCGGAGAGAAACAAAAGACGATCGAGTTGCGCACAGGACTCGATCGCGGTAGAGAAAAAAGCGAAATTACGATCATTACATGTACGTCATGGTACTTGCGGTTTATATAGATGTTAGAGGTGTTGTTTTGAGACCCGGAAGTATGAGCATATATGCTCAAGGTCAAAATGTCGGATTGCATGGTACTCAAAAGACACACACACTCACACACACACACACACCACACACACACACGGGCACACACACACACACACACACACACACACACACACACACACTCACACTTCACACACACACACCACATCACAAAAATAAAAAAAATTAATAAATAAAAATAATAAAGGTTAGGGTTTGGGACTAGTATATACTGTATATGTTTCGTGCGTTATATTACGGTTACATACTGACCGTTATATATAGCCAAATTACGTTATATACTTATATAGATTGAACAGTTGTGCAATTTCATTTTTTTGTTCCTTTTTTTTTTAAAGTAATCTGATTATCTTTTAAACATGATAAATCTATTCGCCCGAATAGCTTTAGTTTCTATCTACCTTTCTCCTTTTCTCTCTTACTTCACTGCACAATTCTCTTTTTTGTTCTCTCTCTCTTTCTCCCTCTTTGTACTTTATTTCCATCACGCACAAATTCTTTTTTTCTCTCTCTCTTCTCTTTCTCCCTCTTTCTACTTATTTCCAATGCACGCACAAATTCACAATCTCTGCAAAAAGTTCATTTTCTCTCTCTCTCTCTTTTCTTCGCCTCCTTGTAGTTATTCCATCACGCCACAAATTTGTTTTTTTTCTTCCTCCTTCTCTCTTTTTCTCCCTCTTGTACTTATTCCAACATGATTCGCAATGACGTTTGTGACAGGGCGTTCCCAGGGTTTAAATCACCTCATTATGGCCAATAGACATCATTAATCATCAATATTTCCTGTTTCTCTCGTTTGTGGTTTGAAGTTTCCGCCTCAAGTCAAAACTAACAATCAGTTCTCATACATCAATTTGCATTTTTTTATTATTCTTGGGTGCAAAACAATGTGGACGGTATTAGAGAATATATGGGTATGTTATTGTATATTTATATTCATATCTATTACATTGATGCATCAGTATGCATACCATCAGGACCATACAAACAGACAGGAAAAATGTATTGTTTGTGTTATATTTGTTACAGAGAGACACAAACATTCAAAACCAGAGCAAAAATTACAATGAAGCAAAAAAGCTCAACACACAAAAATATAGCTCAACACAATAAAAAAAAACCGACAAACACACATCACACTACATAACAAACACACCAGACAAAAAAAAAAAAAAAAAAAAAAAAAAAAAAAAAAAAGCACCTCATCAAACACACACCACAAACAAACAAACAGCTCCTCATGCTCACGCCACAAACAAACAAACAGCTCGACAAACACACGCCCAGTCCCGCTGAAACAAGATCTGCACGGCGCCCGCAACCGTCTATCGGCGAGCCCCCCAAAATAATTTATATTCGGGCACTTTTATTAGTTTTGGTTTTGGGTTTTAAATGGGATACGATATTCAAACATTTCGGTGACAAAGGGAAAAGTGAAATCCAGCGCTGTAAAAATATTTTTTATTAAATACATACAAATCATTTGCCATTCTGCATTCGATAAAATGGTTGACGAGAGAGGCGCGGGCGATTCACTGTACACTGCCAAGGTCACTGTGGAGGGAAACGACACGGCACTGTACAACACCCGATTACAGTGTTGTACCCGATACCAGATCACTGTAAAGTTCACAGTTATATGATATAAAACACTGTACAGCGATGAACCTACAAGCACAATCCCTAATCCTCAACAGTAATCCCGATATTGTACAATGTCCGACGACTTCCATCCGCAGTGAACACGTCGCGAGAACACACCGCCTCGCCACTGTACAGAACCAGCACACGCGCCATCTCCTCAGCAGCTCAGTGTACAGAACCCACGAGGATGAACCCCTGACGAGCCTCTTCGCGCTGCCTTGGCCCTTGAGCCCTCCGAGACGCCGTGAGATCCTCGCCCTTGGGGACGCCTCCTGGGGGACGTCCCTGCCTGTTACTTATTTCTTCGTCCTTGCTTCTCTTTCTTCTCCTCGTTTCGTTCTTTCTTCTGAACACTCGGTCGACGGGGCGAAGGGATCTGAACACGTCTCGACTAGGCACCTTTCGGGCACTGCTTTCCAAATACCCGGGTTCTCTCCCCCTCCCCCATTTTCTCCCCATTCCCCTCCCTCCTCCCTTTCCCCCTCCCCCAACCCCTCGTCCGACCCAAGGGACAGCCTCGAACTCCTCTCCCGCCGCCCATCCACTCGCCTTCCTCCCACGATAACTATAGCTATGGGCGCGGCGGAGGGATTAAACAACGCCCACAACCCGCCCGCACTCCCCTCACCCTGATGGGCGTGGATAGAAGGGGGTATATATATATATATACACACACCTCTCCTTAATCTCTCTCTCTCTCTGTCTCTTTCCCCCCCTCACCCACGCCCTGTTCCTCAGAGATGGGCGTGTGGGCGTGATCTGACGAAGCCCACGCCACGCCTATTCGTCGACCTCTTGACTAGAAGCTCCAGTCGCACCTTAAACTGTTATTCTTCGATGCTCCGAGCACTAGAAACACTAGATAACATATCACAAAGCTTTGTACATTTAACATAACAGTTGGTTATAACAAGGGAAAAAAGGGGAAAACTAATAAAGCAAAATATATATATATATATTGTATATATGTATAGGGATGTCATAACGGAATGGTTAAAAAATCAAAATATTGCGTGGTTTGAAAGACTGAAAATGAAGAGGAAAGGAAAATTCAAAGAAAAAGAAAAGAAAAGATAGAGAATATGAAAAAAATAATGTAAGAAAGAAAAAACAAGAAGAGAAAAATTAGAGAAGTATTCCATCTATGACAACCTTGGAAGAAAACGAGATACGAGAACACTGTGGAGCGAAAGGGAGTTTTCTCTCCGGCCGCCAGAAGCCCCCTCCCTCCCTCCCTCCCTCCCTCCCCTCCCCCTCTGAACTCCAAAAGTGGGGGTTGTTTTATGAGAGTTTTTTTGATTTCCTTTTTTTCTTTTTTCTTTCTTTTCTTTGTTCTTGGGAGTAAGTTTTTTTTCTATATTCTTCTTTCTTCCTTTTTCTAAGAATCGTTGTAGGACACCTCCGAAGACGAAACTAAAACACAGCGATAAGAAAGATAACAAACAACCCCTCAACTCGGGAGCCACACTTCCTCCTGACCTCTGACCTCGCCTCCGGAAGTAGCACCTGGTCCGGAAGAAGAGGAAAGAGAGGATAAAGAGGAAGAAGAGGGAAAAGAGGATAAAGAGGAAGAGGAGGATGACGAGGGCGACCTAAGCCTCGGCCGGAGTAACTCCTGGTCAAGTAGCACCATGTACGCCCGCGGATTCAGTGGGGGGGCGCCTCTCCCAGCACCGGCAGCGTCTGTGGGCGGAGAGAGAGGACCATCTAAAATTTGGGAGATAAGAGAATAGGTGATAAGCTTGTGGGGGGGGGGAGGAACACATCTAAGAATTTGGGAGATAAGAGAATAGTAGATAAGCTTGTGGGGAAAGAGGGACACATCTAAGAATTTGGGAGATAAGAGAATAGGTGATAAAGGTGATGGGGGGGGGGGCAATCCCAAAGGGAGATAAGAAAATGAGATAACTTGTGTGGGGGAGAACATCCAAGATTTTGGAGATTATAAAAAAAAAAAAAACAAATAGTAAAAATGAGATATAAAAACTATGATTATTATTATCACAATCTTTCATTATGCATATATATTTGTCAAAAAAAAAAAAAAAAAAAAAAAAAAAAAAAAAAAAAACACAATTCACCAACGACACCTCCTCTACCTTACTCTCGGTACACAGGCCGTGTCGGTCCAGGCGAGTGTACTCCCTGCCCGACCGAGGCCTCAGGGTGTTCACGGAAGAGCGGGCCAGCAGTCTGCGAGGAGAGAGAGAGAGAAGGATGAATTAAAGAGAGGAGATAGAGAGAAAGAGAGAGAGGGGGGGAGGGAGGGAGGGAGGAGGGAAGGAGGAGGGAGGGAGGGAGGGAGGGGGGAAGAGAGAGGGAGGGAGGGGGGAAGAGAGAGGGAGGGAGGGGGAAGAGAGAGGAGGGAGAGAGAGAGGGAGAGGAGAGAGAGAGAGAGAGAGAGAGAGAGAGAGAGAGAGAGAGAGAGAGAGAGAGAGAGAGAATAAAGTCAGAATAAAAGAGAGGAGATAGAGAGAGAAGAAAGGAGGTGAGAGAAAGAGGAGGAAGAATTAAGGAGAGGAGATAGGGCGAATAAATGACATTAAGAGAGAGATGGAGAGGAGTCAGAATAATAGAGAGAGATAGAGAGAAAATAGAGGAGGTGAGAGAAAGACGAGGATGAATTAAAGAGAGAGAGAGAGAGAGAGAGGACTACGAATAAAACTGGAGATAGCAAGAATAGCAAACGCCATTCTTGCTTTCTCCCCTTTTATTCTCTTCTCCTTTGCTTATCATTCCAGAAGAAGAAATGGAAAATACAAGTGACTCTCCTTTTACAAACAAAAACAAAACAAAAACAAAAAAGAAAAGAAAGAGGAATAACAATATTCAAAGATAATTTTCGCTTTACACCTTTCACCCTTTCTTCTCTCACACTCAAAAAGAGAAAAGAAGAAGACGAAGAAGAAGAAGAAAAAAGACAAGAAATGAAAAAAAAAAAAAAAAAAAAAAAATATATATATATATTATATATATATATATATATACTATATTTTATATATATATACATATATATATATATATATATATATATATATATATATATATATATATCATTATACTATATATATATATATATATTCTATACTCAATCTTTCCTTCTTCTTGACTCCTTTTTGTATTCCATTTTCTCCCTTGTCTTCCTAAAGAGAAAGAGGAAGAGGAAGGAAGATAAACTACTTTTCACCCTCAAACCGTTCCCTCCCTCCACCCTTCTTTCACCCACACTAAAATAAAATAGATAAAATCGATAAAAATAAAGACATAAAAAGACCCACAATAAAATAAAATAGATAAATAGACAGATTACAAAATAAATAAAATAACAAATAAATAAATAAATAATAATAATAAATTAAAAAATAACAAAATCAAAAAAATAATAAAAAATAAACAAAAAACAAAAAATAAATAAAAAATAAAATAAAGACATGTAAAAGAACGTGCGAATGCCCCCCTGCCCCTCCCCACCACCCCCACCCCCACCCCCCTCTATTCCCCCAAAGCTGGCCCCAAGTCGCCGCCGATTAACAACAATGGTGCTCAAGACGCGGAGAGTGTGCGAGCCAAAGATAATTCGCGGCGATTTTTGCATAGTTCTCGCCCCCCCCCTATCCCCCCCCCGACTCCTCTCTCTCCCCTCCTCTCCATTCTCCTCCCCCCCTTCTCCATCTATCTTTTGCTCGGTCATCTCTCTCCCTCTCTCCTTCTTTGCCCTCTCCTCCTCTCTCTTTCGCCCTCTTATTCCCCTCCTCCTCCTCGTCTCTTTTTCGCCCTCTCCCTCCCTTTCTCTCCTTCTCTTCACTCCCTTCTCCTCCTTTCTTTTTCTCTCTCTTGTCCCTCTCTTCGGCGTCTCCCCCTCTTCCCCTTGGGGTGGTTTTTCTGTTTTGTGTCTCTCTTTTGCCTCTCCCTCTCCTGCTTCCCTTCTTTCGCGCTTCCCTCGTACTTCTTCTCTCTCTTCTCCTTTTTTGTCTCTCTTTTCTATTCCTTTACTCTCTCTTCTTCTTCTCATCTTTCTCTTCTTTTTTTATGTTTCTTCCTTTTTCATTTTCTTCTCTTTCGTTTTTTTCTTGTTCTATCTCCTCTTCTTTCACTGCCTTCTTTTTTCTTTCTCCTACTTCTCTCTTCCTTCTCTTCTCTCCTTCTTCTCTTCTTCTCTTTCTTTTTCTTCTCTTTCCTTCTCTTTCTTCTCTTTTCTTTCTCTTTTTTCCTTCTTTCTTTCTCCTCTTTCTTTTCTCTCTCTTCTTCTCTCTCTTCTCTTTCTCTTTCTGTCTCTCTCTTTATCTTTTTTCTCTACTTTTTTTTTTTTTTTTTTTTTTTTTTCTCTTCTTCTCTCTCTCTATCTTCACGTTTGTCTCTTCATTTCTTTGTTATCTTTTCTATTTTATACTCCATCTGTATATTGTCTTTTGTAATTTTCCTATTCTTTCTTTTTTGCTCTTTCTTATTCCTCTTTTCGATTCGTTTTCTTTTTTTTCTGTTGTCTCCATTTTTTCTATTTTTTCTTTTTTTAGTGTTTTATTTTTATTCTTTTTTTTTTGTTTGTTTTTATTTCTCATCTTCTCTCTTTTTTCCTCCTTTCTCTCTTTTTTTTTTTTTTTTTTTCCCCTTTCTCCAATCTCAGTCCCTTTTTTTTTTTTTTTCTTTTTTTCTTCCCTCCTTCTCTCTCTCGCTCCTCTTCTTCTTTTTTTCTCTCTTTTTCTTTTCTCTTTTTTTTTTTTTCTCGTTCCTTCTCTTCTTTTCTTCTATTTCTCTTTTCCTTCTTCTCCTTTTTCTTCTTCCTCCTTCCTGCCTTTTTCTCACTCCCATTTCTCTCTTTCTCCTTTTTTCTTCTCTGTTCCTTTCTCCTCTTCGCTTTCCCACGCTTTTTTTTTGCTCTTTCTTTTTCCTGTGCCCTGTCTTCCTCTCTTTTTTTTTTTGTTTTTTTTTTTTTTTTTTTTTCTTTTTTTCCTCTCTCCTATTTCTTTTTTTTTTTTTTTTTTTTTTTTTTTTTTTTTTTTTTTTTTTTTTCTTTTCTCTTTTATATCTGTTTTTTCTTTTCTTCCCTCTGCTCTCTATTCCCTCCCGTCTCTTTTTTGTCTCTTTTCCGCACTTCTTCTTTCTTTTTTCCCTTCTCTTCTTTTTTTTATTCTTTTCTTTCTCTTCTTTTCTTCTTCTCTCTTCATCTTTTTTTTTCTTTTTTTTTTTTTTCTCTCTTTTTTCATTCTCTTTTTTTTCTTCTCTTTGTTTCTCTTTTCTTTTTCTCTGTGTATTCGTTGTGATCTTTCTTGTTTATTTCTTTTTGTTATCTTCTATTTACTGAATTTTTATCTATTTTTTTGGTCTAGTATACTTTTTATATGACTTTGTCTATGTCTGTCCTTCGGTTCCTGCTCGTCTTTTTTTTTGTTCTCATTGTCTTTTTTGTTTTTTGCTGTGTGTGTATTGTATGTGTTCTTTTTGTGTTGGATGTTGTTAATTTATGTATGTTTGCCGTTTTTTGGTGAGTGTGATGAGTGAAGGATGAAGTGCGTGGTGAGTTGAAGGTGAGTGCGTGGTGAGTGAAGGATGAGTGTGTGATGAGTGCGTGAGTGATGTGTGTGTAGTGAGTGAATAATGAGTTTGTGGTGAGTGTTGTGAGTATATTGAGTGCGTGGCATGTGATGAGTCCGTGGTGAGTGTGTGGTGTGTGCGTGATGAGTGCGTTGTGAGTGAGTGATAAGTGTGTGTTGAGTGTATGCTGAGTGTGTGGTGAATATATGATGAATTTCTCCCGAGAAGGATAAGGCAATCCTGCACATCCAGAGCTCATCACAACGGGTAATGAAAGCCCCCGAAAGGAATATCAGTGTCATCACATAAAACGCCACATCAATCCTACGTCATCATCACATACCCGGGGAGAACACTCATCACTCATCCACATCACATGAAAACGACCATCATCACATCATGAATACTTGGCGTTTCATTCACTTCATTCATCCCATTTCCTCTCATTCTCTCTTTCCACCCACTCTATCTCCCTTCTTCCCTCTATCTGTCCCTTTCTCTCTCAACTCACTCACTCATTCATTCCATTTACTCACTTACTCATTTACTGATTCTTTCGTTGTCATTATTTGTCATTGGCCACTCACTCATTCACTTTTTCATTTATTAGTCACTTATTATTCACTCCCTCTTCCTCATTCGTTCATCCACGTACTCCTTCCCTTCACTCATCACTCATTCGTCACTTCACTCACCTCTCCCCCTCCCTGTTCGTACATCACTCACGTATCGTCCCACTTACTCACTCGACTCACCCCTCTCTCTCCCACTCGTTCATCCTCTCTCTCGCCCACTCATCCAGTTACTCACTCCCCCCCCCCCCTCACTCACCGGTCGTGGTCCGAGGACGAGTGCGAGGACGAGAGGCTGAGGGTGTCCAGGTAGTCGCTCATGTCGGAGGCCCCTGAGGAGGTGGACTTGGCGTCGCCGGAGCCGCTGCTGCTCCCCGCCCTCCTCCTCCCTCCTCCTCCCCCTCCTTTCCTCCTCCTCCTCCTCCTCCGCCTCCCCGCCGACGCCGCCGCCGAGCTCCTGGCAGGACGCTGCTACGCCTGTGGGAAGGGGGGGTAGGGGGGTTAGCTGGGGTGGAATTAGTTATTTCTTATGATCTATGATTCATTATGCTGCAGAGTCATCATTATTCCAGATACGCGTCGGTCCGGCTAAGAGCAAGAGGCAACCAAGTCGCAAGAACCAAAGGAAGGCAACCGAACGCTCGCCGCGCCGGGAGCGCTGGGGCGGCGCTCCCGGCCGGAGCGGCGCCCACGAGCCTCACCCGAGTGCGTGGTGTGGGCGTGCGTGGCGGGCGGCTGCGGGCGGCGCGGGCGCGGCAGCGAGGCGTGCAGGCAGTGCGAAGCCAGCAGCCTGTCGACGGCGCGCGGCGACTCGCACACGCCGGAGTCGCTGCTGGAGGCGGAGTCGCGGTTGGCGGGCGGCTTGCCCGGCACGGACGAGGAGCGCCGCAGGACGCACACGCCCTCGCCCGAGGGCGGCTCCCTGCCCGCGGGCGCCGACACGGCCGCGCGCGCCTCGCTGGCGTCGGCGTCGGTGCTGACGCTGCCGTCGGCGGCCGGACGCGCCGTCGGCCTCCACGCTGTCGTGGCGCAGGTCGCAGCCGCTGTCCGTGGCCGCCTCCGAGCTGAGGCGCGCGTCGCGGCGGCGCAGCGACGACGAGGCGGGCAGGCGGCGCGTGGGCGTGGCCGTGGGCGTGGTGGCGGGCGACGCGGGCCAGGCCTCGCGCGGCCGCGAGTCGGCGGACGTGGAGCGGCGCGGCGCCATGGCCACGTAGCGGCTGCCTGCGGCCACGGACTGCGAGCGGCCGCAGCGCGTCTCCGTGATGCTGAGCGAGCGGCTGCGGTCGCTGCCGCGGGCGGGCGAGGGCGGCTCGCACGGCACCAGCGCGGCCGCCGGCAGCGACGGCGCCATCGGGAGGTAGTGCGGGTCGGCGGGCGCGCGCGGCGTCATGGCCATGTAGTGGTCGTCGGCGCCCGCGGCCGAGGCGTCGGCGGCGGGCGACGTGGGCGTGAGGCGCTGCGGGGCGCCCTGAGGCAGCGGGGGCGCGCCGGCGGAGGCGGCGGACACGGACGACGCCGTGGAGGAGGCGAGGCTGGGCGTGGGCGTGGCGGCGGCGGCGTGCAGGCGCAGCCGGCGGGGGCGGCCGCGGGCTGCAGGCGCACGGGCTGCGCCGCGGCCGCCGTCTTGACGTCGCGCACGTTCTCGTAGAGCGGGAGGCTGGCGGCGAACTCCAGGTTCTCGTAGTTGGCGGAGGAGGACGCGGGCGCGGCGTGTGGCGCGGCGGGGCGTGGGCGGGGCGTGGGCGGCGGCGTGGGCGCCCGCGGCTTGCCCGTCTTCTTGCGCTTGTTGACCACGGCGTAGACCGCCGCCGCCTGCTGCTGCGGGGGCTGCGGCGCGGGCGGCGGCGGCGGGTGGCGCAGGATGGTGCCCGTGTGGGCGTCCACCACCGGCATGCGCCCGTGCCCGTCCACCTTGAGCTGCTCCGCCCGCGCGTCCGGGCGCCCGTCGGCCTCGTCGCGGCGCCCGCACACCAGCGCGCCCGCCCAGCCCAGCATCTGGCCGCAGCCGGGCGCCGCCGCCAGGCCGCCCTCGCACCACGCCCGGACGCGGGCGGCGCGTCGGGGCGTGCCCACCAGGCCGCCGTCGTGCACGTGGGCGCCGGTGTCGCACATGATGAGGCGCCGCGGCGTGTCGTAGTGCGCCGTGGGCGGCACGCGCGCGGCGGCGGCGGCACGTCGTAGTTGTCGAGCGGGTTGAGGGCGCCACGCGGCGGGTCGGGTGGCGGCAGCGAGGGCGGCAGCGCGGGGCGCGGCGGGGCGGCGCGCAGGGGTGCGCGAGGCCCAGCGGCCGCGGGTGGTCGTAAAGGGACTCGGGCGTGGGCGAGGGCGGCGCCTTCACGCCCTCCCACGCCGTGCCGCGCGCCCACGCCGCCGCCCCACCACGCGCTCTCGTCGGCGTCGGCGCCCGCGCTGGTGGAGGCGGAGCATCCGCCCACGGACTGGCTCTGGCAGGAGGCGCGGCGGCTCCAGGGCGGCGGCGGCGGCCAGGGCGTGCTGTGGGCGTCGGGGTAGTGGGCGTCGGGCGCGGCGTCGGGCAGCGGGTCGCGCGGGACGTGGCGGCGGCGCCCCGACGTCATCTCCGACGCCGCCAGCGACGCCGTCTCGCTGCTCAGGTCCAGCACGCTCACCTCGCGCAGCCACGACAGCTCGGCGCGGCTCTCGGCGCGCGACCCTGGGGGGGGAGGGGAGGGGTCAGGGGGGCCAGGGCGAGCGCCGCCGAGGGAAGCAGCACGGACTACTCAGGCAAGTCGCTTACAGTTATCAATGAAGCAGTGATGAAAATACATAAAGAAAAATAAGAAATATACTCATAAAATCATTTATATATAGAAGCCATAACCACAAAACAAACAAATTAAGCTTAAAAATATCAACAATACCAAAAAATGCAGCAAAAAAAAAACAATAATAATAAATAATAATCTAAAACTCCTTACAACCGCCCACAAAACCACCACCAACGTACCTGTCCCCGTGGGCGGCCTTCCCCGGGGCTTATCCAGCAACCCGCGGGCGGCCTGATCGATGGCGTGGGTGACGGCGTGGGGGGCGTCGGACAGCGCCACGTGCACTCCCGCCCACCGCCCACACCGGGTCCCGCCCTCCCACACCACACGCCCATCCACCACACCCGTAGCGCCTGAGGGGGTGGGGAGAAAGGGGGGGAGGGGTCGTTAGGGGCTGCGGATAATATGCCTGAAGATATCTCTCTTTTTCGGTCTATGACTATTTTCCTTAGCTTAGCAGGTCAAAAATGAGAGAGAGAGAGAGAGAGAGAGAGAGAGAGAGAGAGAGAGAGAAGAGAGAGAGAGAGAGAGAGAGAGAGAGAGAGAGAGAGAGAGAGAGAGAGAGAGAGAGAGAGGAGAGAGAGAGAGAGGAGGAGGAGGAGGAGGAGGGAGGAGGAGGAGGAGGAGGAGAGGAGGAGGAGGAGGAGGAGGAGAGAGGAAGGGGAAGAGAAGAAGAGGCAGGAGGGGAGGAGGGGGAGGAGGAGGAGAAGGAGGAGGAGGAGGAGGAGGAGGGAGGAGGAGGAGAAGGAAGAAGAGGAGGAAAGAGGAGAAGAAGAAGAAAAAGAAAGAAAAGAAAAAAGAAGAAAGAAGAAGAAGGAAAGAGAGAGTGAAGAGAGAGGCGCCTCACCTTCAGGTCGTGCGTGGACCAAGCAGCCAGCAGGCGCGGGGGGGTGCCTGTGGTCAAGCAGAAGCGGTGGTCGCGC